AGGAAAGAGGGCTCATGATGTAACCCACACTGAAAATCAACTTTAGCACTTGCTGGGCTCAAGACCTCAAACTTTGAAAATCCAACTTACCGAGATGCTGAGCAACCTCAAGCACCAGCCTTGGGGAGCGGTTAGCAACCTCAAGGGCATTGAGAATAGGGGGGAGCTCTCCATCGAACTGGACGTCCACCACAGCACCAATGACAGCCACTACGCTACCATTGGGCACGCCAGTCTGGGTGGCAGCCTCAGCCTTGGCAGCATAGTTGCGCTCTGGAAAGAGGCAGATTCATAGGTTTAATTATACAGGTTAATGACTTAAGATTAAGAACAATTCAGGAGCTTTATTATCAGCATAATACATATGCCACGCAAAACCTTAGTGATCATCACTTGCAAGATAAAACTTAATACAAGTACCACGTATATATCGTTATGAAATCTGCTCGGCCATTACGGTGATAATCAGATTTTTGTAATATACAAACTTTCTCAATCTATATGGGTTGGTCTATAGTACTATTCATGCAGGGAAACTTTCAGTCATGTCAATACCTGCAATTACAACTGTAGATAAGGTCAAAGATACCATTAATGCATTTGGTAACCCATTACAAATGCACAGCAGTTAGGAGCAAGCCTATACTGTGGGGATGCAAAGACACCAGACTAGCAATGCTGTCTTACAATTTAATATATATTAGACCTACAAAAATTTATTGAATACAAGAAACTGGTTATTTCCTTCAAAGGACTTTAATTGCTTACTTTTAGAGGTTCCTAGATTCAAGCCAATTATATATTTCTGCCCTTTATGAGCTTTTTTCCCCTAAGAGGGAACAATTCTTTGAAAAGTTGAAATTTCCAAAACCTGTCTACTGCTTATAACCTATAAAGTTTAATATCACAAATCACAACATACTATGGCTTTTGTTTGCTCTAGGCAACAATAGGTGAAGTAACAAGGTATTAAAAGGGGAAATAGCAGGGTTGCATTATGTAATATATTCACAAAATGTTAAGACTAGGCCCATAAAACCCTACTTAAAGGGAGGCTTACCTGTACCCACCTCCCATTTTATAAGCACGGTCTCAACTTTCAGAAAAGGAGTTGAAAACTCAGGCTATGTGAAAGTTGCGGACTGTTTGTGAGTGGTGATATTTAGAATGAAAATACGCTCAGAATAAGAGGCCAAAGCAATTGTACCTACATTATCTAGTTTTTTGTTTTATTTTTTTTGCCTTATAAGATGGCAGTGTCCTTTTCCTTTTACCTCTGCATTTCTCTCAGTAACGTTAACTGAAAAGTTTTCATTGATATCTGGCTTTTCCACTATTTATATCGACACAAACTTTCAACATTATTAGGCAAGTATATAGTCATGTACAATAACCTGTGGGTCACGGTAGCCTGGGTTTTATATATTTTACAATAGGCGCTAAAGTGTAAATACTGTTGTGTCGTTATTGATCGACTGCAATAAAGAACGTCGTTATGTTGAGCATTAGTTCAGCTGTTGACTACTTACAATTCATAAATCTATTTAAAATGCCGTAAGAAGGTGCAATAGAAGAGCGGTGAAGAGGATCCCCGGCCCTTAATTCTGCCGAATGCCCTTTTGCGCCGCTGACCCGCCGGCCCGAACATGGCGCCCGCGATCAGCTGATCAAGTGTTTACGGACCGATTACGTACACGCAGGACTCTTTAAACCCAGTGACAGGACTTTTGATGTGCTCTATATTACGGGTAGTACCTTTCAGTTGCGTTCACGCGATCACGCAGAGCGTTTCAACTGAGAATTGGCCCAGAGTCTTGCGATCGGCCGGCCGCCATCACCAGCCGGCGAGACCGGCTGACGGAGACGAGAGGTGGCGCAAGTTTTCCCCGAATTCCCACAACAACCGAACTTTTAAATAACTCACGGCAGGTGTAAAGCGCTGGGACAGTCTTGGAGCCTACATTCTGAAGGCCCTTGGAGACAACAGCAGGCTTCGCTGCCTTTAGGATGGTCGAGCAAGCGCGCTGTGCAGCTCCCAACATGATGCCTGGCGGAGGAGACTGAGGAGGGTGGGAGACGAGCGCCCGAGAAAGACCCGCTCGGGTTTGCTCGGCTCGCCTCGGCTCTCGTCGCCGCACGCCGCAATATGGGCGACTTTGGTGCCTTTGTTCAGGTTTTATATCGTCGCTAGGCCTTTATTTAGCATCGTAATAAGAAAATAATTAATTAATAGTACATATTATATCCCTTTAATGGTTGTTTTTTAGAATAAAGTCAAGATAAATACAAGTAAAAATTGAATACTAGGAAGTAATAAATCAGCTGTTCCCGAGTAAGTTTCCAGCGTTGTGATTGGTCGAGGACCTTCAGGGCGGCCATGCTATTGAGAGAGCGCAGGCGCGTCTAAAGCAGACGACGCACCGGCGAAATGTTGTTGCGTTCGTGACGGAGCTTTTAGGTAAATAATTGCGAACAATTATCATAAAGATGGAGCATAAATGAAACTACAATAGTTTATCTTTTATTATGTATATATTCTAAATGTTGATCGAGTGAATTTTGTATCTACATCTTTCGATTTCATTTAATACATCTGATACATGATTTCCTAAAGGCACAGTTTGTATCCTGTGATGTAATAAAAAACAAACCGGCTAGCAAACCGGCTTTAGAATAGGTTGTTAAGAAATTTGCTAGTGTAAATAAAACTTCCATTCCTGCAAACATCATGTCATAATCTCATAGTTTTGTTGTCATAAGATTATGTTCATTTTAGTATACTGTTCTTGTCTGCTGCTTTATCAGTATTGTAGCTTTGTCACAGTAAATAAATTCTTATTCAGTTTAGCAGTGTTCTCTTTCTGATAGTGGCAACTGTCGGTACTGATTTCAGTGTACTACTATTGCAATAAATTTTGTTATTGTGCTTTTAATCTTAAAAGCTTTAATTATTGTATTTACAATTATTATCACTATTATCTTATCTCGCTACACTCCGGACCATTAGGCTCATTATACTTTAAACCAGAAAAAATATTTTGTCATTGTTTTAATCTTTATCAATAAAGATCTGTCTTTTTCATTAGGAATCCACTACCTAACTTCAGTTACCCTCATCAGTATGGACCAAACCATCCAAATCAGTTATGCCGGTCACTACCATTCTCTCCCTGTTTAATAATAAGCAAAACCCTATTGTCATCTAAAATATAATGAACCTTTAATATCAAAAGAATAGCGAGATTACAAGAAAATGTGAATACAAAAGTAAATGCGAAAGGGAAAGGGTGTTGCCGAGACGTGCCAACAGCACATGACTCTGGCCCCTACGCTGCCAAGAAGGACGGAAGAGATGACGTTTAGCCGGCTGTGCGACTTTTATATACATAACCGGGGCTTCACTTCAGTATTGAGTCAAATTCCATAGACGTTGAGGGACGGGGCAATTATTTTCGTTTTTATTTTATTTCTAGCTACATTTGAATTTTTTCGTATGATTTTGAACAGGTATTCTCCTTCAACTTATATAATTTGTATGTAACCAATATATCATAAACACCATACACTTAGTACACCAAACTTTGCGAGAGTTTGTAATGCATTCGATTTACTCGTGTATAAAAACATATGAATATAAATAGTAACCTCCATATCTGTACTTTAGTATATAATAATGGTAGAGGCTTAATTCATACAATATTCTTTAACCACAAAGCCAATGTGATTTACTAGTTTGGGAAAAAGAGGCGAAGAAACTAGGTTTCTGTATTCTAAAAGTTGATTCTTGTACTATAGTACAATGTAGGTTCAAAATGGTTAATGATTAAAAAACAAATAAATGCACTAGACAAAGGTCATAATGCACTATGGGAAAGTATAATTTCGTTGAGGGTAAAGAGGGAAGTTAACAAGATGATGGTTAAATGTGTTACACGTCAGAAGTCCTATTACATTTCAGGACATGGTATTGAAGAGGTGAAGAGGGGCGAGGGCAAAGGAGGTGCATAAATGGGGCAATACAGGGGTCAGTAAGAGGGACAAGGGGGGTTACGGGCAATTATATCAGATGGAAGATACAGCTCAGAACAGAAACAGCGAGTATACGTGTAGAAATTGTAATGAAATGAATGAGTGATAGGGTAGAAGGGTGTCGAAGAATTGGGAAACGAGACTAGGAATCAGGGGAATGTAACGGGTGGAATGTCAGGAGGGGGGGGGGGGTCGGGGAAAGGCACTGGTGTGGCAAAAAAGGGAGTCACGTGTGTATCTAGGAAGGAGCGGAGTGGGTGTAGGTGAAGATGGAACAGGAAGGGATAGGGTGTGTTGGTAAGTAATATTCAGAGTAATGTAGTAAATTTCAAACCCAAACCAAATCATTTGGGTGCCAAGAAAAGTTTTTATCCCGAGCGTTATCATCAAACTAATTTTAATTGAAGGCATTCGACATCTGTCGGGTAGAGAGCCGTTTTTACTCATCCTGTGTAAAACCTATTCCTTTTTTTTTTTTTTAATGAAGACTTGATTGTGCAGTCTTTGTTGGAACTTATATGACAAACTATTGAACTACCTTGTCGTTTAATACAGTTAAAACTACGATTGCAGCGGCTTTCCTTTACACTGAAAGCGCCTTTAGCAAGCTATTTTACTCCATGTATATTCATTTCACATCGATTTGCAGAACAGATCCGAGAAAACAAGCTTCATTGCGAAATTAGTTAATATATGGTCTTGCATTTAGCATTTTAAGGTTTAAGGCTAATCTACATCTTTATTTTCACTGGATTTTACTGCAGTTTTCTTAATCATTAAAATAAAAAAATGCTAAATCATAAAGCCAATTATACCAACAAAATACTGTAAAATCAACTCAAGCAAGGAATTATGTTTGCAATACAATTCTTGTTCATCATGTACATTCGAGTTCACCCTGTTTCAGTTTGTGTATAGAATGAAACAAACTCATCAGCGAGGAACATTGGTATGGTCAAGGAAAACTGAAGCAAATTTATATTCTTTTATTGCACTTTCTTCACAGATGCTGGCTGGCAGGAATATTCACCTTCACCTCCCAGTATTCCTGTTGGAAATAAAAATGAACAATGTACAATCGTTATATTTTCTCAAGTGTATTTCTATCCAAACGTACAATATCAGTGAGATTCTATCCTCATAAATATTCGGTCCCGAAAGATAAGTGCATCATGTTGATATATTTGAAGTGGTTATTTCAATATAGCTTATAAATACATACCATTATTGCAGTCCTTCCAGCTCTTTTGTGCGATAGAAGATGGTCATTCCAGATAAAGGCTATCATAACTGCAAAAAGAGGAAATACAAATTGATATTAAGAGCAAGAAGTGGAAAGATTATTCTTTTATGAATTGAGGCAGGAAAAATGGGGAAGGGAAAAAAAAAAAATTCAATAGATTATAAAAAGTAAAAAAGGTAAAAGTATCTTAAAACTTACCAGAGTTGACAAATCAGCTACTGCATCCATGTTGAAGTAGCATCTAGTTATAATTGGAATCATACCTGGGGAAGAGGAAAGAAAAAAAAAAAGGTGAAAAGAAAGGTTAAAAAAAGTTAAAACAAGACATTTCTATTACCTTTGAAAGCTTACAACTGTAGGAAAGCAACTCCTCCTGACCCTAAAGAGCCTGGAATCTGTCATTTTCTACATTTTCTACCTCCTGGAAATATACAGCAATGTTTGTGGAACAGAGCTGTGGTAAGCAAAAGGAGGCAACAAGTCTTATTATGAAAGTGACTTGCATACATAAATCAAATGCAAAATTGGCCAAAGCAGCAAATTCTATTCCTTAACTTATCATATAAAAAAAAACATTACAAACCTTTCGCATGTGCATCCAAGTCGCTCGACTGTCAAAACCCAAACTCATTACCTGCAAGGAAAGCTTCAATTAAATTCATGTCCTGGGAGAATTTAATTACAATACCATTTTAAAACTTATCAGTGGAAGAGTGTCCTCAAAATTTGTAGGTCCCGAAAGATATGAAACATCATGGTAAAGTTCATATAGACATGCAAAGTAATGAATTTTTTTTGTCAAGATTCAATGAAACTGTTCAAATTGACCAAAATTGTCGGAAGTAGACATGACTATTTAATTCAGGTTATATCTGCAAAAACTGATGAGCAATGCTACAAACCTTTCTTGCAAGTGCATCCAAGTTGGCCGACTGTTGAAAGCCAGTCTTAATACCTGCAAGGAAAGCTTCAATTAAATTCATGTCCTGGGAGAACTTAATTACAATCCCATTTTAAAACTTATCAGTGGAAGAGTGTCCTCAAAATTTGTAGGTCCCGAAAGATATGAAACATCATGGTGAAACAAATACAAACATAATATATCAAAATTCAATTAAAATACCAAAAACCAGTGAAAATGCCTTAAGTAGACAAGACAATCTACTTCATGTTATATCTCCAAAAATTAATGAGAAATGCTACAAACCTCATCTGCAAGCATGTCCAAGTCATTTGAATGCCGAATGTCAGCCTCAATATCTGCAAAGAAATCTTCATTGAAATTCATGTCCTGGGAGATTTTAATAATTACATTTTTAAGTACTTATCAGTAGAAGAGTGTCCTCAAAATTTGTAGGTCCCGAAAGATATGAAACATCATGATAAAACTAATACACACAATAGTTCAGATAGGATGGCTACGATAATTTATATTCCATACATACCTATTAGACCACTACAATGTGAGAACTTCATTTCTGCCCAGCCACACAACTGAAAAAATAAAAAGCTATTAAAGACAAAAAAGTACTCAATAAAAAACAATTTCCTTTTTCCTTTCAGTAAAGATCTTCATTCATAAAATTCAGTCCCGTCTTGAAATTATCATCACGTTAAATAAAGCTTTGATAACCTAAAAACATACATACCTATACAGCATTTCTTCATAAACCAGTACTTCAGCCTTGTGTTGCTTTTAAGCCACCTGGTAGGGGGGGGGGGGAGAAAATTAATATCTGCAAATAACCACAACAAGAAGCTTTCAGTCCTGATATTTCAGCAAGAAACTTTCAATCATTTCTATCAGTCCCGTCTTGAAATGTTCATCATAAACACACTATTTCAAAGTACTAGAAAATCTAAAGCTCTTCAATACATACCAGTATTAGCTTCCTTCAACTTCATCTTTATAATGTTAAGTCAGATCTATCCACATCTGAAATAAGAAGTAAAATCAGGGTAAGCAAGGCATTTGGGAGGGCTCTTGGATCTTTTCCCAATCAATGCAGATTAAACTCCAAATACATTTTATTTACTTTTTGCAACTGTTGAGCATGTGCCATGGGGTTCTAACTATTCAACTGAAAAATAGTCTGCACATTGTAAAGTTAAGGCACCAATAATCTCAATAATGCTGTGGGCTCCATATTTCATGATACTGGCAAACAAAGTAACATATATTCTAGCAAAATGAAAAGTGGACTACCCTGACAATTTAAAGTAAAAGAGAAGTTTCAAGTTCCATCTTCAAATAGAGTAGTTTTATTTGCGTTTTTCAGTAAGTAAGGCCAGTATTGTGCAAGTCATCTTCGTTACAACCCACTTCTTATTTTGCCAAATGAAGTTCAATACATCCAAATCCAATTCAACATTCCGATATCATTGGATACCATGTATAACTTTAGTTTAATGTTACTAAGAGAGAGAGAGGAAAATGGACACTACCATTATAGATCACAAGAAATAGTTAAACACACGTACAGCTGCTACGGTCTCATATAGGCCTCATGTTTACCAAGTCTACAACACCCTCACACAGCCAGAGTTCTTAATGTATGGTTTTCTGTAGGTTGGCATGAAATGCCATAAATACCGTAAATTAAATCAAATGACGCAGTAAGCCCAGACTACCGATAGATATTCATTTTAGTTTATTGATAGATCTTGTAAGGAAATTCGTGTTCCCAGTCTACCTAATGTGAACAAACTGTTGATAGGAAAAGGAAAAATGTGCTACAAACGACTACCATACATCAAAATGCAAGAACATTTAAACAAATAACAACTGGTCATTGGAGAACTGCAACCAGGAGTGCCTCTCGCCTGCCCACGTGTGTACCGGACGGCGAACCACAATAGCATTCTATCCAACAACAATAACTTGCTATAGAGAAATACACAGCAAATCGCTAAAAATACCAATATTCATCAACTTACTCTGCTTTCTGGACCCCAATGTTCGTCATGTGGGCCAGAAATTCACGAATCCTGAGAGCGGCGAGACTTTTCGACCTTCCATGGCGGACGTCGGGATGCGATGGACGAGGAGCCGGCGGAGGGTCATTACTT